AAATGGATACGGAAAGATTGGAGATAGCTTAACACATTGCCCTGACCGACCCCACAATTGGCTATAGTGTAACAGAGACTGGCCTGATGCTGGGAGAATACCAAAAAACGGAGTATCACGGAGGCCGTGGACATCCTCTTTTAAGGCAACCTGATGAAGATAAGCTTGGAAGAGGGAAAAGAGTCAGCGAGAATTTCGTGTACTGCCTGGGCAGACTTAGAGATTCGGCGAAGACAACAAAAAGAATATGCTTGGACTAAGAATATCTATTCAATAAGAGGAAGAAACATCGCCAAGAAGAGGATCATGTAGAAGAAAGAGAAGTCAAGATAAAGTGATTGCATTAACAGGATACAAACCTGGAATCAGCCGAAAAGTGAACGCGCTGGGTCCACCTGTGGGATTTGGGATAGAAACGTGTATATCGTGTACCATTAGCGGGGCTAGGCTAATGGTATAGATGTGCCAGAGATAGGTCCTCGATGTGTGTGAGTGTGTACGTGTGTGCTTGTGATTCATGACGGTTGAGCAGAATAATTGGCAACTCTGTTTTAAACATGGCACCTCTCAGTGACAAAGCCGGCGAAATGTCTGGGAATGTACCAAGTCAACGGTCCGATGCTGGTACTACTCAAGGCAGACGACTCAGTTCTAAGCACGCTCCTCTAAAACGAGCTCAAACCTACACTAGTTGAGGCAATTTGGCATTTCCAATTGAACAGCCTGAAGGTAATTCTTGGTTCCCAAGTTAGGCCTTATTCAATCTTAATAATGATGTTGACGACTTTAGTAATGGGTTATACATATGTTACTTTCAATCGTAAACTGTGTGAAAAAACACAAACAAACACTATGGGATCATGAGATGAGTTGATCCTATTTTGTATAAGGTGAAGAAGAACATCCTTTTTGAAGCAAGGCTATGGGAAATGCAATGGCATCGTAAAGTCTACTCATATGATTGCGGGGAAATTCAACTGTCAGTCTCGTTATCACCCTAAGCAAAATAAGGTGAATGGATATCATATATCTTATTTACTGATAGTCTCGAAAGCCTAATTACAAATGAAATACTATAAGATCATGTTTGTCTCTAATGTTAGCAAATGATTAAATGGTTCACTTAAAAAGTCGCCTAATACAAGAATCACTTTTAGTTCCTAATTTGTTGGTTAGGTGCATGGATAAGTGCTTTGCCGTATGGAATTTTGGCAAAGAAAGCCTTGGATACCTCCTAAAGTTAATGAAAAGAATTGGTGGGAAGATCAAGTTCATCATGGAACTAGAAAAGGATGTTAGTTTACCTTTTGTAGATGTTCTAGTTAGCAGAGGGAAATAAACTGGGTAGAAATGTGTATAGGAGACCCACAAATGCGGAGTTCCTCTTACATTTATCTTCAAACCATACGCATGGGGCTAAAATAGGGATTATGAAATCCATGATACTGATGAGCCTGCGTCGGAGCAGGAACTGAGGCGACTAAGCAAATTTTAGTTGACAGCGATAACACATTAGCATTAATTGAAAATTGCCTTAAAATTCTAGCAAATAGGACAGGGGAAGCGTCTATTTGGAGCAAGTTAGGCAATTGGAATATTCGACTAGAGCCCTGATGCTACCATCATATGAGCTCTCGAAAAAGATAAGCGAATCACTAAGAGGATGGAACATCAGGACAACGTATAAGGAAAAAATAAACCTTTCCTCAATAATTCCATCTTTTAGGAAGGTTTCGGACCCTCACTCCAGGCATGAAACAACCACAGGACACCAAATAGACTGATCTGAAGCCAAATGTTAGGGAAGTCATAGAAATACACAAAACAACCAACATCCAGAATAGGAGGATTGAGTGGAGCAAATTAAGCAAAAAAAACTTGTTGCTGTTGGATGGGACGAGAGAGAGAGAACATGAAGTAGTGCCGAGCAAGAGGCTTGATTGGCCTCAAGTCTGGTTTTCACTATCACACCCCACCGTCTCACGAGTATTGCATGCATATAATACTCGCGCAATGGAATAAAATTACATGCGGCAACATTGTCGAATCGAAAATATAAGAGATTTTGGGAAGAATGTTCGGTCACAACTGCATCTAATTGTAGACCAAGTTGGACAACAACAAGTATGTAGAAGTAGGTTAATCTCGGTCTTGTTGTCAGAACGACTTAATTGGACGCACCTTGTCCGAAGTCCTCTGCTACAGTAATTATACGAATTTCCAGCGCCAGACCGTGAACTTGGTATATTCTCAGACATGTCACCGATATCGTAGTTGGCATCATCAGTGAGTCTTGCCGTACCTGAACCAGTACCAATCTCAGCCACAAGTCGTCAGAGATAAATGAAGTCAATATGAGTTGTATTCACCCTATTTCGTCTAAGCTGATGAAGGACTGGTAGTTGATTTTTCTGACACAATCATATGAATATAGCTGACGCTTCCATTGAATTTCACATAGCCTTGCTTCCCCAAAAGATGTTCTCATCCAGGGTGGACACTGCAGCGTGTAAGCTCGACACGTCAACCACTACGCCACATTGCCACGAGTGTGCTTGAGTCACATTGCAGATGTGAATTTCAAGAACTGCCAGGTAGTCTCGAAAACACACTCACTTACGAAAAAATGAAGCCAATCCCTTGGCCCACTTTCTGCCAAAACGCTTATGCTACTACTACTCTTTCTGTTCTCCCACATCCACCTACTCCCTACTACTGCCCTCTTATCACACTTCCACCCTATCACAACTTATGATTTGTCTGAATCGAGATGGTTTATCCATACACGCCAAATTTGTCTGCTAGTCCTTCTCCAACCACAGTTACAGGAGCAAGGCTAGAACTTTCAGTGAAATCCTGCTCGGGAGTGTGAGACTGGCGTGTAGAAAGTTGGCCATATATAAACAGTTGGAAGGCGATCCTCTTTTGGGCTTGGCTACAAATAAGCTCGCTTAAATAAGAAATAACACTACGAATGCTGGTTATGCTGGACAGGATAGGAAGCCCGATACAGTATGCCATGTTCTAAGTTTGTTTTGACGCTTTCCTTCCAACAAGACAGACGAACTGGAATAAAAAGAGAAGAATTAGAACGTTCCGGAGAGGAACTGTGATGCTCTCTTTGGAGAGGCCCATTGTTGGAAAGCACTCGTCATCGTCGCCGCTGTCGTCACCATCGTCATCAAAAGGAGGCTGCTATGAAATAAGGCATGGCGACGCGGTCATCCTCGTGTCGAGGAAACCGGTTGCTCAAGCGGCACGAGAACTACTGAATAGGAAATCGCTTGTGAGCAGAGATGAGGTAAGGCGAGGTGAGGTGCGGTGAGGCTGAGCACATGACAGAAGCAGAAAATAAGCCTCAGATTCACCGGCTCTTGAGTGTGCAGTTTTTGAGCTCACTTCCAGTTCAGATAAAAGGTTTATGTGATGAAGAGATGCGGAGGCCAATCACACCGGAATACGACGGTCTGCCCCTC